CCCGAAACGGTAGGGGGAGTGCATGTGGGGTGAGGTTATTATATTAGAATTAAAAAGAAAAACCTGATTTTTGAATTTTCAATTTATAAATATGATTTTTGAATTGATGTAAACTAAACACCTTATTTATGAATTTTTCCCTTTATTTATTCGACCAGTTTTCTTTTATTCTTGTTCAAGAATATGAATAGCATTGGAAACACACTACACGCACAGAAAGGAAAATCAACATAAATGGGCCAGAATACTCACACCATGTGGGGCCCACGCTTTTCTTAATACATAGTGGGGCCCACCCCTTTGTGAGTTTTATGGTGCATTTCTGTGGCTTGATTTCTGTACAAGTGGCTAAAACTATAGCGTTTTGTACCGATTAGATAAAAATGAAATATACTGATAACTCTTCGTTGATAGGCATGTTGATTAGATATGACCATCAAATGAAATGAAATGTGAATAGTCCGTCCTTTAATTGAAATAAAGACATTTTTCAGTTACACGTTTGAGAAGCTTATTTATGTATCCTTGGAAGGTGATAAAATGTATGTTCGGTATGGAAATAATTCTACAATATTATCTTTAATATTTCCACGATGTTTTGAGATTATTTATTAATGATATGACTGAGTAAACTAATGTAATATTTTTAGAGTATTTGTAACGGGTTATAAACATTTTTAATGGGAATATTTTGATTATGGTAAAAAATATTTAAAATATAACCCTTAAAAAATTAATTATACTTTGGATACTGCTATTTTGAGACGCAATCTTATCCAATAATAATAATAAAAAAAAAAGCAATGGTCAACCAAATATAATAAAGTGATATATTACAAATTGCCCACATCTCAAAGCGTCTATTAATGTAAAAGATTTGTTGGGATTTTGTCCCCAATCATGCACAACATTAGTGTTAAGCGATAAAATTTCATATCGAATAAAGATAAAAATATAGACCAATTTATAAGAATTTAGACAACTCCTCTTGATAAGGTTGTGACATTTTAAGATGAAATCTCAAATCTTAACATAGTATCAGAGCCCATTAAACTCCAAGGAGCAATTCGATCTGAATAAGACTAAAAAAATTGAGCACACGAATTTCAAGATTGATCTGATCAAACAAGCCACCATCTTGTAGAGGCATGTTAAGGTATAAAATTCAACATCGAATAAAGATGAAAACTTAGACCAATTTATAAGAGTTTGTGTTACTTCTCTTAATAAGGTTGACTTCTTAAAATGAAACTCCAAATTTTACACGAGACAGATGCTAAGAAACGTTGTTTTT